ACTTAATTATCACAAGCCCCAGATCCTAAGTCAAAATGGAAAATCTTTAAAAATTTCTCCTTAGTAAAGTCAAAAACCTGTACATCCTTTCCTGTTTCTTTTGATCTACTGAATTCCCACTTTGCCAATCCCGACTCATTACCACTTTCCTCCTCATACTGCATTCAAAAAATTTCATTTGACCCTGAAAATTTCTATTTTGCAGTTATTTCAACAGAAGACCTACTTTCCTCTGTCCTAAAATCCAACAATGACCATGGTCTGGATCTAAATCCTGTAAAGTTAATCAACCTATGTCTACCTTTTATCTTTCCTATACTACTGCCTATCTACGATTTTGACTTACAAAATTCCAGTTTCACGTTAGCTTGGAAAACGTTATTGTCCGAGCGTTGAAGTTCCACTTCCCTCCGAATTTTCCGATTTCAGACCCATCTCCATTCTCTCCAACCTTTCAAACCTCTTAAAAGAATTGTTGATGCACAGCTTAACATCTTCCTAGAACAAAACGATGTCCTCAATCCATTCAGGTATGGTTTCCGATCCCAGTTTTCCACCCAGTGTGCTCTGTTGAAAATAACACAAGACCTTCATTTCGCCATAGAAAAACATAAAATCGTTATCCTGGTCCTCTTTGGTTTCTCCAAAGCATTCGATTCAGTCATTCATGAAATTCTCCTTTCCAAACTCCAAACCCTTTCCATATCAAACAGTGCTCTAAAGTTGTTCCATCCCTTCTTGTATCAAATATCTCAAAAGGTACCTAATAAAATTCCTTCCCAACCCCTTTTACTCAACCGGTGGTGTTCTTCAGGGATCTTTGCTCTCTCCATTTCTTTTCTCTATCTACATCAACGACCTTTCTGATTCCACCCATCATTCATGATATCACTTATATGCTGACGATCTCCAAATCTACCTTTCCTTCTATCCTGAAGATGCTTGAAGCAATCCAAAGGCTTCAAGGAGACATTCATAGTATCAATACTTGGGTAGTGAGCAACGATTTAATGTTGGATGTTGAGAAGACCAAGCCATTCTCATTGGTTCCAAGCATCTGATTAATTCCATTCCTTATTATTCCTTACTCTAACTCAACGGCCTACCTATCCGTTGCAACACTTCCGTTAGAAATCTTGGTACAACGTTTGATCAATATCTGTCCTGGAATAATCATATTTCCCAAATAATCCGAAAATACATTGCTATCCCTAAACAATTCCTAAGATTCCGTGATTCCATGCCGCTTAGAATCCGCAGTTTCCTCACTCATTTTTCCTCATTTCGATTATTGCTGCCTTGTATACGGTGGACTATCTTGTGATCTTTAGAGCAGATTAAACAGACTAATGAATTGTTTCATTACATTTATTTTTGGAGTCCTCAAGTTCTCTCACTTCTCTAGTTAGTATGCCGAGCTGAAGTGGCTCTATCCAGTCTTCCTAAGGCAATACTTCCAAGATATATTCCATTTTCGAACCTTTGCAACCAAGACACTCTCTTAACTTCTCGATTTGTTTACTCTTTGTTCCTCTGTTCATTTGTTCAATGAGAGCCCAGCCCTCAAACCTGTTTATTCCTTCTCATAAAACTGTTTCCTTTAAAAATTCCTTTGTCATACGTGCTATCTTGTTTTGGAATTCCCTATCAACCTCTATACGCAAATCCTCTTCGTTGATCTCATTTAAACATAATTTATTTATCCATCTCCTCAGCAATCAATCTTCCGAATATGTGTAAAATAGTGTTCTCGTTTTTATACCTGTTATACAAAAAAAAAAAAACATTTTTCAGACCTGTCAGTCGCTTTTAATGTTATCCTACAGATAATTATATATCATTCACGTTGTTAATGTGAACAAATATGTGTGAAATCGCACATCTGAATTTATCTATAATTTCGTATGTATACCAGTGCCTTTTCTTAATTTTAATTTTAGATCTAGATAACTTTGTAATTTAACTTATTCCTAATTATTACTAATGCCAGACAATTGTCATTAAATTGGACATTGCATATTTATTCTAAGGAGATTTAGAATAAAATTTTCTTTTCTTCTTCTTCTTAAATTCTGCACTAGTTACTTTTTAATTTAGTAATGTGTAACTTTTAAATTAACTTTTTCCTCAATGTTTTACAATATATGTTTCTGTTTTTTTTTAAACATATTTATTGAGAGATATTGCAATCTGTCACAATTAAGGACATTTATTCAAAGAGCATATTCACACTCCATTCACAATAAATAAAATTAAAATAATACAGAAAAATCCTAAAATTAAATGTATATAAACTTAAATAAACTAAACTAAACAAAAAGAAACTAATAAAAATACATACCCAAATACATGCTTGCTACTGTACAATATCTAAAAAAAATCATTCATTGAAGATCTCCGAGCCAAGTCTTGCTACCGACTCATGGAAGGAAAGGCAGGACTCAAGACCACAGCGCCCCTCACTCAGCCGCATTACTGGTATTTCTTAGTAACAGTCTTTCTTTCTTTTCAACCGAGATATAAATATTATAATCCCTCTTGAAATTCTTATATACATTTTTATTTTCACTTACATATGTATGAAATACATGTAAATAAATATGTTGTAATGAAAATTATTAAATCTGAAATATATATTTGTTTGGCTCCTAATACAATTGGTATGGATATATATTTACTATTTAAATTCTACCATTTTAATTCTCATTAGTTAGATGATTAATAACAAATTCAAATATATTAACATTCACAAAACTCTTCATGATTGAAATAGATAATTGAATAAAACATTTAGGTTGGCTAGGACATTTTTTCATTATCAAAAGTGGTCCCGATGTATCAAATACATTTATTTCAATATATAATATGGGTTTGGTTGATAAAGGAAGTTGTCATCAGCAATAACCGGTGTTTATCATTCGATTTAGTGTCTGCTAAAGGAACAGTCGCCATTCTACTTCAAAACATCAAACACTCTCTTCTAAAGACTTCGGGCAGCAATGATGTTCCGACCTATCACTCAGGCCATTGAGTCTAATTTTATCTTTAAACTTTCTAGACTTTTGGGGATTTTCCCATTCAGAGTTAGAGAAAATGAGCTAAAGGCCAATAAGCTGCTGTCCTTATATTCCCTGTTACTATCGAGTTGTATTATTATTCTATATACATATTGTATTTGGAATTCATCATATAACGATAGAAATCTTTGGTTTCAAGAACGGAAAGCCTTCAATTATTTGCTTGATCTAACTTGTTTCGAATTCCAGTCATTCTCGCTTATTTTATTGCCATTTTTCTTTTATCTCAACAGGAATGTATTAATTGAATCTGTTCATTCCTTGGATTCTCTGGAGCCTATATTCAATAAAATGAAAGGGAAACTAAAGAATCGGCCTTTTAAAAAGAGGAATTCGATGAACTATTTATTTGGTCCTCTTGTCTTAGGTACTGTATTATATTTCGGGGATAACACGTGGCACAGTGTTTATGTTGCTTTAGGAATCACCATTGTACTTGTAGAAATAAATTTGAATTGTGAGCAGTTCAATTGTTTCGTCGGTACAGTGGGCGACTTTTTTGATTCGAGCTCGAAGTTTCTGCTACACATGAAGCAACCGGTCTCTTTAGTCAATTTGATGAGGTTAGAAAAACTCGTCGATGCAACCAGCAAGTTGGTTACCGCTTCGAATAAGATCAACACAGCTTATTCACAGCAATTACTGGTCACCATCTTCACCTGTTATAGTTCAATTATGAGTTTTCTTTATTATTTTTACCTAAATTTCAACTCAAGTTATGGATGGAACCATCCTCGTTTACCTGGAGATATTTTAATTATTTTCTATTATCTCTCCGTGGTGTGGCGCTTAACTAACTCTGCTGTAAAAGCCAGTGACAAGGTTTGTATTTGTAGTGATTACTTTATGATTATGATTTTCTTGAGCTATATGTCATCAATACAATGGAGTTCCCTTGTATTGGTGATAATAATTATGGCCATAATTATGGCGAATAACGTGTGGTACTGTACACACACGTTAGCCCGATCGGAACTTTATTTTGTGTTTACGAATTTTTAAGGTTAGGTTAGTTTGAAGGCGAGAAACGCTTGTTTTTTTTTTTGTTTTGTTTTTTTTTGTGTTTTTGTCAAAACTACTTAGCTCGCGTATCTTGTTCCGAAACTTAAAAATTAGAATATACAAAACTATTAACCTTCCTACGGTTCTTTATTAATGCGAAACGTGGCCGCTTGCATTAGAAAATAAAGTATACAAAATATTAAATTCTCGGACCAAAGAAGGATGAGTCAACCACAGAAGTTGGGCGGTTACGCAACGCTGAATTGTGCGAACATTACCCGGTTAATATAATTATGATGAGATGAATAAACCGGGCATATAATATAAAGTCGCTAATCTCACTTGTGGGTACCCCAAGGATCTGTTTTATCTCCCGTTCTTTTCCTATTATATACTGCGGAAATAGTGAGAACTAAACATCAAAATGCTTCCGTTACAGCATTTGCTGATGACATTGCCGTCTCAAGTAGCAGTATGAATGCCAAAAAAGCTATGCAGCAGGCGGAAATAGCTTGTGAAAAAATTGCAGAACAGCTAAGAATCCTAAACATAGATGTTAATCCTGAACGAAAGGAATTATATTTTCATACCAAAAAGAAAAAAGAAAATGCCAAACGAATTCAAAATTAACAAAAACAGTATTAAATTATCGACTGACTTAACATATCTCGGTATTCACTTCGACAGACATTTAAAATTTATTAGAAATTTTGACAAAAAAAATTAAAACAGTAAGATCTAAGACGTACAGACTTCAAAATTTAATTCGGACAACAAACCTATCTTTACGCCTAAAGCTTCTAGTCTATACAAGTATAATACGGCCGGCTCTGTTCGTAGTATTCGTATGGTGCACGTCTGTTCGAACATATGGTTTTTATCACTCTCCTATGTTATCGTATAGTACATACGATATATGTACGATAATATCTCTATAACCAAAAAATATTATGTAAGTTCAATTACTTTGTAATATTAGGTGCTTTGTTTCAGTCAAAGGAATTCAATATACTTCTTTATCAACTCATGATTGAAGACAAGAACACCGAAATTTTGGACAACGTGAGTATTATATTTAATTAGGTATTATGAATAATTATGAGTATTAGCTTCATATTTAAACAAAAAAAAAGTATGCTAAGTAAGGTCAATTTAGCTTCCTCGCCATTTTCCTTGGCTAAACAATCTATATTTCAATATCTATCATTTTTCGTAAGTGAATAAAATCTCCGAGAAAAGCAGTTTACGGAAATATAGTAATCCTTCAATAATCGCGGGTTTGATATCCATGAGTTTTGTTCATCGGCAAATACTAAAATGCGGAAGAGTTCCACATTTGTAAATTGCATATTTGATGGTTAGTGATTAAAAAGAAAAAATCCTAGTACTTTCTTAGTAAAATTTTATATTTTATACTGCGCTCTGTTACTTCCCATAGCAGCAGACTATGTCAACTTGCTTTTAACCGAGATTGAAAAGTGGGTAGGTATTTTCTTAAACTACTTCATTTTGGAGTCGCCACCCACCGTCGGCTCCACACTTCAGTGTGTCCTCTTATGGATTATCTTTTTCCATTTACTATGTTTTTCAATAATCCTCATCCGTATGTTCTCCGAAAGACCTGTTGAGCTCTCCCTCTTCTTGCCTGGTCACTTCTTATCGCAGGAGAAGGTCGAAGGGTACCATTTCCGTAGTCATATATGATCTAATGATCCGAAGCGCAGAGCTGTCCTCTGACCACGGGCGGATCTACGGGGGGGCTTTCGGGCTGAAGCCCCTTCCCCCCAAATGTTAAAATATAACCATGTTTTATCTGAAAAAATACTAAAAAATTATCTCTTAAAGTATAATTATTCGTGTAATTACATTTAAAAGGGCTTTATGAATCACTTAAACACCAGTTCGTATAGGTACATAGTTTCTTTCGTATTTTCCAAAGTAATTATCGTTACTTTTATGAAAAAAAAGCTTTCGGGCTGAAGCCCCCCCTCCCCAAAATTAAATCTTGGATCCGCTAGTGCCTCTGACATATTTTATAATCGTATTCAAGAAGTTTTAAAATAGATCTTTATATAATATTTTTGTGGCAAACTTTATAAAAGTCTTCAATTGAGTTTTCATGGTAAATCAACTCATCATCCCAGAAGAAATTTAAAACACCTTTAAATAGGGAAACATTCCGTTGAAACTAATAGACTCATTTTAAAAATAGTGAGATAACGGGTGATGTTTAAATTTAACCATCGTTTTACCACTTAGGTATTTACCCCTTTGCTTTCAGGAGTAATATATAAAGATAATCTAAAATATTTAAAAAAAAACACTAACATCTGTAAAATAATTTAACAGGGAAGACTGATGCTACAAATTGCGATGAAGAGAGAGGTGGTGTTCACTGCTTGCGGATTCTTCAGCTTAGATTTCACTTTGGTACATTCGGTAGGTTGTATATATATATTATAAAATGTTATAGTATATTGTGAAGTACATAAACATTGAACATTTAGGTTGTAATAAAATTTTCCAAAATTAAATAAGAGGTTAAATCTGTGATTTTTTTTTTTATTTAACCGAAGAGATGGTCCGGGATGATATTGATAAAAAAATTATACTGAAAACTATTTTATTAAGCCGACGTTTCAACCCAACTATATAGGTCTTCATCAGACCATTGTCGGGAAGTTTCGTGCGAAACTGCCTGAAAAAAAATATAGATAATATTCAGACAGTTTTGTACGGAGCATCCCGACCATAGCTCGGATGAAGACCTGTACAGTTAGGTCGAAGCATCGGCTAAAATGGTTTCCATTATTGAAGTTTTTTTATTTATTTACTATTTTAATTACCACCAACCTATCTTTCATCGATGTACAGGCGGTCAACAATCACATACACATTATATTGGTGTAATATTAATGTAAAATTATCGGATGTCCAACGTTTTGCCATACGCTGTAGTTCTTCATCAGAGGTTTCGTTTAGAAATACCGGAAGAACCTAAGAAACTCATTGTCATTCCGGCATCACAAGGCGAAAACCCTGATAAAAACCTAATGTATAGAAGGAAACGGTGACGACATAATTTTTGACTTTGGGAAATTGTATGGACTTTGGAAATTGTTCTCGCTTAGCTTCCGAAATATCTGTCCTCAACTATTCCTAATTTTGAGAAAAAAATGTTTTGCTGGTGTTTATTACTGTTTTTCGAGTTTTCACTTGTATCAGGAAAACTATCCATTGCATCGACACATGTGCCCTATACAAAATTAAAGGTAATACAATTTGTAATATGATTGATTATATACCGTCCTCATCTATCGCTAATATGGAAAAAAATTTTATATCATGTTTTTTACTGTGTTTGACTAGCTAACTCTTGATTGCTTCGTTTTACGATTAAGTCATGAGGAAAGAAAATTTTTAATAATTAAATTTTCTTCAAGAATATATATTATTTTTCTAGTTTATCTCCAACAGTTCGGAAGTTAGAGTTATAACTTTATATGTCGATTCCAAAAATTTACAGAAAAAAATAATGTTTATAATAAACGTTATTGTATATATATATATATATATATATATATATATATATATATATATATATATATATATATATATATATATATATATAGAGAGAGAGAGAGAGAGAGAGAGAGAGAGAGAGAGATTTAGATGTATAGCAAGTTAGAGCAATATAATAATAACGAATATTATAACATTATTTTTTTTAGCAAATTCCCAGAACATATAAAGTTATAATTGATCAAACATTTGATCCGTTGGAGATAAACAAGTAAAATAATATATATTCTTGAAGAAAATTTAATTATTAAAAACTTCTTTCCTTACGAGGTAATCGTTAAAGTTAGCTTGTCAAAAAAAGTAAAAAACATGAGATATATTTTTTTCCACCTTTGCGATAGCTGAGGACAGAGATTTCTGAAACTTTTTTTTTGGGGGGGGGGGTCCTTCCCTTCCTCGCCGTTAAGGCTATACGGGATTTTCCCGGGCCAGGGGGTGTGGGCGGGGATTTAAAAGACTCCCCCGGCACCGGGACGCGAACTCATGTCTATTTTTATATCTTTGATTCATATGTCAGGTTGCCGGTCAACGGCGGTGCAGTGCACACGCTTTAGCCCATTCGGCCACCCCGCCCACAAGGAGAGATTTCTAAAATTAAGTGAGAAAGCGAAAAAAAACATATTATCAATTAAATTGCAAATGCTGTCAGCTTTAATTTTGTACAGCTTTAATTTTAATCTCTGATGTAAGCTGAAACTTGAAAAACAGCAACAAAAACAAGGCACATTTTTTCTTCTTGAAAATTAGCCATAGTTGAGGACGGATATCGCGGAAACGAAGCGAGATAGCGGAAAAAAAAACATATCATCAATCCAATTGCAAATTTTATCAGCTTTAATTTTGTACAGAGCGACTTTGTCGATGCGATACGAGGGATAGTTTTCCTGATATAAGCGAAAACCCGAAAAAAGTGGCCTTCTAGGCGTTCAGCGCATCTGGTATTCCTCACCACGTAGAAGTGTGGACTTTTAGTATGTTTACCTCCTTACGGGTCCAAACAATGTCCCAAAGTTAAAGATTGTGTCGCCGCCATTTCTTTCTATAATCATTCATTGACTGGACTAAATCTCCAAACCTTCTATCCTAATACTCGTACTATTTCATCCAATGACTCCATTTATTTGCCAAACAATATTACCATGTTTTTTTTTTTGTTTTTGTTGTTTTTGCAGATGTTGGCTTCAGCTACTACGTACCTGGTGATCTTGATCCAGTTCGGAGACCCCGGGAACGGCGGAGTGCAAACAGCTGCGACTAACTTTACCACTACACAACTCCCCGCGACTTAGTCACCATAAATACTGCATAATTTTTATTGCACTAAATTAGTCGCAAAAATATTGTGTTAGTTAGAAAAATAGTGTGTTAGTTAGAAAGATAGTTTGTCACTTTTTTTCTTTTTGATTGAATATGTTTATTTCTATATACACAAGTCAATAAAAAAAATACATATGGGTCATTCTCATATTATTTGACCATTTAGCATTTCTGAATCTAGCAATTTGGGTTGAAAAATTGATCTCAAATATTAGTATAGATGCCCCAGATAATAAACTTGAGCTTTGGTAATCACTTTTTCTTAATATTTATTTATTTTGCATTATATTTGCAAATGTGCTTTCGTTCGTTTTGTCTGCTATTTCTTGAAAATTTATTGATGTTGTGTGTAGAACCCGAGGGCACTGACTATTTAGTCTACTATGAGGCTCTCCTGGTAAAAAGGAGAAAGACAGAGAGAGGGCAAGTGGATAAGGGTAATTAATAGTTGAAGTGTGAAATGTGGTGTTTTGTCATGTATGTAGGTTTTTGTAGCTGGTATGTTCATGTCGCTGTGAATGGTGTGATTTTAAATATACCAGAGTGCACTTATTTTTGATTTTTCGAAAAAATTTTTAGAAATATTTTGAGCTGTGTAGTTTTTATTTTGCTTATGTGGGCATGTTTTGCGGTAGCCCAAAGTTCTGCTCCGGAGGTCCAAATAGGTCGTAGTATGGTGGTGTAGATTAGTCGCTTATTTCATAAGTTCAGAGGAGATCTGTTGTCTAAAAGACAAACATGTATTGTCTGGTCAGTTCTGGTTTTTTTTTTTTTTTAATTTGGTGTGTATATTCTAGGTGAGTTTTTTGTTCAAGTATAGTCCGAGATATCGTACATGAATTTTTGAGGGAACTGATTTGTTGCCTACTGACACAGCAGGACACGAAATATAACTCAAAGAGTAGCTAACATGGCTTGACTCGCCGCCATTAACTTTGATTTCCCATTTGTTGAACCATTTTTCTAGGTCGTGGAGGTGATTTTGAAGGGTAAATGAAGCAATAGTAGTATTTTTGTGGTATGAAATAATTGCAGTATCGTCATCGAAACTATAGAGGGTGGTGCAAGGGTAATCGGGGTTATCAGATGTGTAAGGAGAAAATAGAAGAGGACTTAAAACACTACCTTGTGGTACGCCCGCAAGTTGAGGGAAAAAGGGAGAAATAGACGAATCTACAGAAATACAGAAGAACCAGTCGAGGAAGAATGATTGAAGGATAAGAAAGTAAGTAGAAGGAATGTGCTGTTTTATTTTTCACAATAGACTTTAGTGCCAGACGGTTACAAACGCTTTCTAAATGTCTAAAAATACCGCTGAGCAGCATTCTTTTTTCTCGAAGACAACTGAGATAGCATTCACTATACGATGGCACTATTGTACGGTGGAGTGGTACGAACGAAATCCTAATTGATGTACCTTCGGTAGTGAGGAAGAAAAAAATGCCCCAAAAGATCATTTTTAAAATTCAATCAACTCTACGTAAAAGCTGTCTTTTTTTTGTCATCAGTTTCTTTTAATTTTTTGAAATAATAACAATTAAGATGTTTCCATGTTGCCACGAGGTTTTCTAAAACTTTTTGTTTATATTTATTTCTTCTATAATCGGTTGCTGGCCCATCTTACCTTTCCATGACTACGCCGAAGCAACTTCATCCAGTTGATCCTATTTATATGATGAATAGGTGGATGATTCGTTTATGTTAAGAATCATGAATGCAGAACAGAAAAGCCATGTAGCAGATTCCAAATAGAATAGCAATAGATAGTTTATGAATAATAGTAATTTATGAGAAGGAGTTGATCGGGAAGTGGGGTCAAATAAATTCTAAATTAAACAGATAGTATTATTTAATTTTTGCTACGTTTCGACCCCCTTTGCAGGTCCTCATCAGGGCGTTTCAACTGCCTCCCGCAGTGCTACATCCTACGCCCTGATGAGGATCTGTAAAGTGGGTCGAAACGTTGGCAAAAATTAAAATAATACTATTTGTTTAATTTAGTATTTATTTGCCCCCCCCCCCCGATCAACTCGTTCTTTTATTATATCAACGGTCAACCATCTCTACATCAATAGTAATTTATTAACAAGCCTAAGTGTAGAGCAGGCAGAATACTCATTTATTTTTTATTTAATGGACTTGTTTTAGGGAGCGTCTGATATAATATTTATATTCAGATGGCTAACTGATAAAATTGATGGAACAATATTTTTTATTTTTAAGTAATTCTTTATTTTATATATTCTTATATATTATTATATAATTCTTTATCATAAAAAATAAATTTTCTACTGTCCCGAAAAGGTCACAGGTTTCTAATCAGCCATGAAAGATTTTCTCAAGCTTTATAAGATATATACTGTATTGTATTGCATTTTTCTCACCATGATTATTTGTTAGAAATCAACGAAATGAGTCCCTTCCACTTCTCGGATTGTTTTGGTAGGAAAAAAACCTTTAAGAAAATTGTATCTAATGCACTAAGAAAATTTATATCTATTGCACAAATAACACAAGCAGTATTAATGGATTAGTTCAGAGAAATACGATAAGTGGTAGTTGTAGCTGTCACCCGAACGCCAGCCTAGTTATATCCCAATACAGCCCAATTGCTGAACCAGTATTAGAAGTTCCACCAAATAATTCTAGACTTGAGGAGTGCAGGATGCCAGGACCAATAATCCAGTCTGTTAAATCCGACTTAATCTTTACAACTTCCAAAATTTTGGGGATGTTTCCGTTCAGGGTCATTGAGGGTGAACTTAAAATTGATAAACTTCTCCTTTTTTATTCTTTGGTATTATCCACATTATTTCTATATTTCCCATTGTTGTTCGGAATCGAAATGTACACAATAATGCAGATAAGTAATCAAAAAGGAGTGAAGTTTAGTTATTTTTTAATCTCCATTTCCTTCTTAAATCACTCAATCGTTTTCTTTTCTCATATATTGTGCCTTTATAACAAACAGAATGCACTAGTGAAAAGTATTAATGTTTTGGACACCTTAAATTCTATATTCCATAAAAATGGTATGAAAATTAGACAAAACCGCGTAAGAACTAACATGTTTGAAATCTTGACGCCAATATTGATCACTTATGTTTTTTATGCAAGCGGTAATACAGGCGGTTCAATTCTTTCTTTTTTATGTTGCACGCAAATGCTTATGGGAAAGAGTTTAGGTTTCGGACAGTTCAAATTCTTTGCCAATACAGTGAGCAACTTCTTTCATTCAAGCTCAATGTTTCTGTTATCAATAAAACATCCAATCTCCTACAAGAAGTTGATGGCTATTGACAGAATCGTAGATGCAGTAAGTCAATTGGTTTCGACTTCGGATAATATAAATGATATTTATTCAAAGAATTTGACTATAACAATCACCGCCTCTTATTTCGCCATGATGATTCATCTGTATTTTTTATGCTTAAATGGATGGAAACACCCTCATAGATGTGGAGACTTATTACCGCTTCTTTATCATCTCTTCGTAATCTGGCGCTTTATTCATTCTGCAGCACGGACTTCTCACGAGGTTTCTATTGACTATTATTATTTTTACTTACTATTTGTTATATAGTATTGTAGTGACTAAAAAAAAAAAAATAACGTTTTTAATTAGTCGACGTTTACTAGCATTTATTTCTCACTCTGTTAATTATAATTTTGTGGTAATTGGTAGTTCTGTAATCCTAATAATATACTGAAACTCAGCCGACGATATGGCCAAATATACAGGCTACTGAATAGAAAATCTAAACGTTGCATTGAAAATAAATTACTTATCTACAAAACAATCCTGAAGCCTATATGGACAGACGGACTTAAAATCTAGGGGACAGAAACATTTTCTAACATAAACGCAACCAATCCTTCCAATCTAAAGTCCTTCGAATAATCATTTATGCTCCATTTTTTGTAAAAAAAAAAATTCTACACCATGACCTTAATATTCCATTTATTCTAGACCTTATCATTGCAAAATTTCATCAGTAACTTACATATCATCCAAATCTCCTTACACAATCTCTATCTAGTTCCTACCATCCCTACAATCCTCCTTGACGGTTAAAGAGACACTGGCCCAGAGATTTTTTTTTGAATAAGCATATATTGGAGTTTTGTGATGACCAGATTCTCCACTCAAGCCATGTTTGTATGTTTATTGCACCTCTAGTGGCCCTTAATACCAGTAATGCGTCTAATTGAGAGGCGCTAGAATCTTCTAGAATCCTGCCTTCCCTTCCACGAGTGGCTCGGAGTTATCATGAGTAAATGTATTCTGTGAATATTTTTAACAGTATGCTCCTGCTTAATTTTAAAAAAATTATAAGAAAAAAAAGTTAATCGCTTCGAGAATTGAGATTATACTTTCATAAAGATGTTATCATCATAATCCGAGTTCGACAAACCATTACACGATCTTGGCTGCCTCAAGTGTTCTACCACGTTTCTCTGTCCTCAGCAGCTGTCCACCAGTTCCTGATTCCAAGGATTCCGACATCAGTATTTACGCCATCTTTCAATCTCAATATTTAAATCTCAATTTTTTTCCTTATAAACCTTAAATTAATTGATATGTAATTCTTCTTCTTCTCTCTCTTTCTATTGGCTCTCAGCGGGGGGTGTTTCCAGCCATCGGTTCCATGCATCCCGGTTTCCGGCAAGGTTTCTTAATTCCTCTAAGAAACTTCATCTGAGTGGTAGTAACACGACTTTGTAACCTCTTATCCAGGATCCAAACCTCTGCGCCAGTCTTAAACAGATGAAGCTTCATATCCCGTTCCACTTCTTTTTTTCCGATTACGGTATTACATATCGTATAGTAGAAGGAATTTGCTTTTGATATCCTGCTTGAGACTTCCAAACCTACATTTATTAATTACCGTACCGAGATAGGTAAATTCTGTCACCACCTCCATCAGATCTTCATTAAAGACAATCCGTATATCCTCTTGAGTTCTGCCGACTAGGAGTATTTTGCTTCTTTGGGAATTGATGGTCATTCCTTTCCTCTTCAATTCTTCATTCCACTCTGTTACTGCCTGCTGAATCTGCAATAAGAACGATGTCCTCTGCTAATAGGAGAAACTGTACAGCTTCAGGAAGCAAGTTTCAATGGCCCATGTGCATTCGTGCTGTTCACCATTTGCAGATGGAGACGATCTCATTCACATAGACAATGAATAGAAGGGAACTTAGGGATTCGCCTTGTTTCACTCCTTTTTCAAGACTAAACACTCCTAACTCTTTTCCATTCAGGCATACAACACGTTTCGTCTCTTGATAAGTCGATTTTATAGGCTTTAAAAGCTTTATGGGGATGTTTTTTTGCATTCAAGGATTCCCAAATTTCATTCCGGGGAACCGAATCGAATGCTACCTTCAAGTCTATGAAGGCGAGTTAATATTTCAGTCTCGGTTCCAGGACTTCTCTATCACATTTCTCAGAGTAAAGATGTGATCATTCGTTTGCCTGTCGCGCAAGTACTTTGTAAAAGTACTTTGCTCTTCCAGGTCAGGTTCCACCAATGGTCTTAATCGATTGTCTAGGACGGAGGTATATAGTTTGCAGAGGACTCAAGACAGGCAAATAGATCTCTAATTAGAGCAATCACTTTGGCTTCCTTTCTTGTGTATGTTGAACTCCCATTTCTTCGAGATTCTTTCGTTGTCCCACTCTTTGAAAAAAGTTTTGAAGAGCTATTACTAACTCTGGTCCACCATATTTAATAAGTTCTAGAACCATGTTGTCTCGACCTGCTGCTTTTCCTATCTTCTTCTTCGCAATAGCCTTCTCATCCTCCTCTTCTTCTATCTGATCGTTTCCTTGGTCCTCCGGCAACATTCTTATAACAAGAACATTGCCTTCCTGATTGCCTTTAAACTGTCTTGAGTAATACCTACGCCATACCTCGAGCACTTCTTTTACCTCTGACACTAACCCTCTCATTATTTATATTCCTAACTCGTTTTGCCATTCTGCCTCTCAGATCCTTCATTTTTCGCCAGAAAAAGCTTGATATTCTCTCTATAAACAACATCAAAGGAGCGACACAACTCTGTCTATGCTTTCCTTTTTGCTTCTCTTACAACAACTTTTACCCTGTTCCTAGCAACTTTGTAGTGTTCTGATATGGAATTAAGCTTATTAAGCGAGGAAGTATTCTTAAAAGTGAGGTGGCTTTAATAGAGTTTAAGGGTGACGAAAAAAATAATAATAATTTATGACTTTTTTTAAACGAAACTTAGCTGTGTTTTTTTCGCTCAATAATCTTTAAATAGCTTTAACAATGTTAAACTCTACTTTCTTTTAAAGTAAATTTTAAGTTTAGTTTTTAATTTTAAGTAAGGTTTAGTTTACAATGGAGCAATGTTTAGTTACTTAAATCAAATATTTCTTAATTTATTGCATCCAATTCAACAAAAAAATGTGACTCGCTTAACAAAACACAAATTTTAAATTTCTTGCTTTTCTGCTGGAAATCGGAAAATCGTTTATATGAACCTTTTTATAGATCTTGATGTTTACGGTCAACCTTTTGAATATTCCCCTTTACTTAGGGGACAACCTGTACATCTAGAAGCGCCAAAACTTCAAAAGTAGTGTAATTATCAGTAATTTTAAATAATGACGAAGATAAATAAGATCAGTGATATATTCTTTTAAAGCTAACTTTTTGAAACGCAGCTTGGTGAACGGAATGTCACAGGTTGTAATCCGTCTACCTCTATTTAATGTGAATAAAATTTGCTGTATATTTAAGGTGAGAAATTTATTCATTTACTGTAAATCACCTTTTAAATACCTATAAAGTAATAGCGTTTATTTTTAGTAGGGCGAGAATAAATGATTAATATACAAACTTACCAGTTTCCAGACAGATTTCTTTGGCAATTTTTTTCCAAATTTGCGATTTCAAATTTAGCTCGAACCAGATATCCATCTATTCAAGATAAACTCCAGTCCCATCCGAATCCACTTGTTTCCAGGCTTCCTATTTCCACGATTCCTGATAATCCTCCTGGGCGTCTGAAATGAAGATGGCCTCGTGATTCTCTTACTTAAAATTATTTAGGCAGTGCTACCTCTAGGTAGTATCTCAACAAGTCTGTTAATGTCATTATCTTTAACTTGTTTGTTTACTGCACATTTACTAGTTTGTTCATTTAATACAGTTGTAAATTTTAATAAATAAATTAGCTTCAATTAATTTTTCCTGCTTGATTTACTTCACCTGCGAGTCTCAGTTCGGAGTCATTTGAGAAAAACTGTGGCAGAGACACAAGCATCCATAGCTCGCGGAGATTCTTATTTTCACAAAATCTCACCGTGAGTCGAATCACATCCGCTCACCAAGATATGTTTCAACTTGCACCCGACCTAAGCCTGAGCTCTAAATAACTACAACTTCAGCTGCAGATCATTCGGACCACAGAAACGATATGATACCCAAATTACTAAAATGAAATAAGCTGAATATCTATCTAAAACAATAGAACTGTATTATATATATGTGTTCATAATATATAATTAAATGTGTTTCAGTCGAAAGAATTCAATATAGCCCTGTACCAACTAATGGTTGAAGACAACACCAATGATATAATAAATAATGTAAGTATTAATTTTATTTTTGATAGAAAGTACTTCAGTCAGTTTTTTTTTAACTGGCATGGGAACGAATTATAAACGAAATAACTTGTAAGAAGTAACGAATTCTTAAATCTCTTAACAACTTTAATTAAGTTAGGTTCTTCATAATATAGTTATTTTAAATATACGCAGTTTAACAGCCATATGTATCAAGGGTCTCCAATGCCTTGGAGCCAACAGCCAAATATCGACCTAATCGCAGGCGAAAGTTTGAACGTAAATTACGAAAGTGTATGTTATTATAAATAGATGTTGAATAGTCTGTCATTCCATAGCCGATAATTTCAAAAATGGCTGCTGATTTAAAGATTATTAGGCTTGAAGATCGAAACGAGAAATTCATTGAAAAATGTGAGGAAAGTTTTTATTTGTAAACTTGTATCTATGGGTTCAGACATGTAAAAAACAAAATTTCTATAACGTTGGCCACCAAGGAAAAACTTTTCACAGTAAAAAAGTATGAAGCTTTGTCTGCTCATAAATAATGAGTAAAACTTTGTATTTAACCCATATATATACATATGTTTTGGATTAAACATCCTTTGTCTTTTTAAAATCAAAGATACGTGAATAAATTCATAAGGTAAATCCCCGAATGAATAAATAAGTGATAAAAAGTAGGAAAACTAATATTCTATAAAACCTTTCATAGGAAAAGCTGAAGCTGCACATTATGGTGAAAAAAGAGGTGGCTTTTACTCTCTGCGGCTATTTCAATTTGGACTACACTTTGCTACATTCGGTGAGTATTGTTAGTTATGTATATTTTGAGTACAAGTCCCTACCGCCCGTTCAAATCACTTTGCAACATTCGGTGAGTATTGTTACTCAAGTATATATTTTGAGTAGAAGCCTTTACCACCCGTTCAGATCATTATTTCAAAGATGTAAAAAGAGACGGGTTGTGACAATTTCTAATTGGATACTTGCAAGTATTGGGGGGAGCGGAAAGTAATGTCGTTTTCTTGCATTAAATTCAAACACATAAATTTCACACGATTTTTTATTTTTAATCATTGATGGAACGACCCTCATCATTAACAAACTTTTGTCATCTAGTATACACATTTTCAATGCTGAATTGTTACAATTCAATTGTTTTTTGACGTATAAAATTCACGTTTTACGTTAAGAAAAAAAAACGATTCTATACATATTGGGATACAGTTTCTTTAAAATTTAGAAAATTTTATTTCCCATTAGAATGATGTTTCATGTTTGGTCATATTAAATTGTCTGTTATCTTCAATAACCTGTGTGTGAAGATTCCATGAATAAGGGAAGTAAATATTTATTCATTTTAATATTTTGTAGGAGTGATGGAGGAATGGGAATGATTTGGTGGGAGAGGGCAGTCCGTAGGCCAGACCCCCATCCCATGCACCTTGCTTCCATATCACTAAAAATTGTATATCGTAGTGTTCATTGTAACTACATATAAAAAAAAAAAATCAATGTTCCCACAAGAAAGAGTGGCTGCACTGTCCAGAAATGGCATTGAAACATTGCGGATTGGCGACATTGACTTGAGCTAGTTTTTCGGTCACTGAGATTCAATAGTTTAATTTCGTCATAATTGGTCTTTTATTAAAGCTGAATAGTCAAGGAAAAACAAAACATCAACAAATTTTAAAAAATAAGTCGCCTTGGCAGTAAAACATACCAGTAAATTCAATTTTATTCAGCTCATTCAATTTTTTTTTTAAATTTATTTATTGAGTATTACAACAATCTGTCACATGGACACTAGTTATAGTGAGGTAGGATAACATTCACACTATATGTACAAAAAATCTAAAATAAATAGATGGAAAATAACAATAAATAATAATCAAAAAATATATACAATAAATAAAATAAAATAACCTAAAAATAAGAAAATTAAAACTAAGCAAAATACACATGCATCCCTTTAAACATTATTTACAATCAGTCGAGGGAACTCCAGAAGAACCCTGCGCTACTCTCTCAACCGCCTCACTGGTACGAAAGCCAGCGGAGATTGATCGAGAGCTCTTTAGCCACATACACTCATGTCTTGAGTGAAGAATCTGGTCATTGCCAGAACTCCAATATATATATGTATACTACAAAAGACCATTTCCGTTTTATTCTTCTTGGAGAATTATAGGGATGGGCGGTGCTTGATAGGGATTGTGCAAGAGAATTTGGATGATACGTAAGGTTCTGGTGGAATTTGGAGAATTTTTCTGGGATAAGGTCTAGGATCAATGGGATGTTGAGGTCATGATGTAGGGTTTTGTTAGTTACATGGAAGTGTGTGTGTCAGGTGATGGCACAACTGAACAATGTTCGTACATTGATTCATTCAAATTAAAGTTGAAAATCAAGCTTCATTTTTAATTAAACAGCCAACAATAACCAAAAATGCCTTAGAACAAAATATCCTAAAGAATAAATTTATCTTCCTGAATCACTGATTAATTTTTAACATACTTGAAACGATTCTTTAGAAAAAGTACATTAACAGCGAGAAAGCTGCACTAGGGTAGGCGCCTACAGTCCTCTGCCATCCCATTCTCTTCTTATAAATGATATAGTTATAGTGCTATTCTCTTCATCTATATATTACATATTTCTTCCACCAAGTAATGTTTCCATCAGTTCTTTGTTATATTTTTAAAATTTTGGATCTTCACTACAGTGATCCCAGAATTTATTTTTTCTAATGGATTTTTCTTCTTCGCTTTTTTATATATTTATATCTTTTGCTATGATTTGTCCCCATATCAAACATTGGCCTCTGAAATTAAATTTATGAGTCGAGGAGAGTTTTGAAAGGTGCATCAAGCCCTTTTTTTGTTTCCTGCTGGTTTATTTTTATTTTTTTTTTTTTTTATCTATTTATTGAATAATAATACAATCAGCCACTGGAGGGCTATAAGTATTAGGGCTAAGAGTTCTCATTCAAACAATATATACAAATAATAGAGAAATAAATATAAATATAAAAAGTAAATAAATAATACTGATGAAGAAAGAAAATAAAAGAAAAAAAAAATAAACAATAACATAAAAAGAAACTTATAAACACAATCATACCTATATACAATATATACATTCGCCCAAGAATCTCCGAGCCAGGCTTTTTCCCCCACATGTGGAAGGCAAAGCAAGACTCCAGGAGATTCCAGTGCCACTTTTCCAGCCGCATCACTGGTATTAGAAGCCAATGGAGACTGAAAGAGGGCACTAGAACCACAGACGCTCGGGACATGAGTGGAGAAGCTGGCCATTGCCAGGACTCCAGAAGCATATTTACAAGAGATCTCTGGGCCACTGCCGTTTTAACCTTCGTGGAGGATTGTAGGGATGAAGGGAGCTGGATAGGGATTGAGCTAGAGGATTTGGATGATCGATAAGGTTTTGGTGAAAGTTTGAGAATCTGGTTGGGATGATGTCGAGGACAAATGGGATGTTAAGGTCATGGTGTAAGGTCTTGTTTGTGACATAATATGGGGCATTGACTATTGTTCTAAGTACTTTGGACTGGAAGGATTGGATGCGTTTGATATTCGAATGTTTAGCAGTTCCCCACAGTTCAAGTCCGTAGGTCCAGATAGGTTTCAGTATGGTCTTGTAGATTAAAAGTTTATTTTCAATCGAAAGATGGGATGTCCTACTTAGTAATCTATACAGCTGGCCATATCGTCGGTTAAGTTCTTGTCTTTTAAGTCTGGTATGTGGGTTCCAAGTTAGTCTTTTGTCAAGAAGGAAGCCAAGGTAACGGACTGTGTCTGAGTAGGGAAGTGGAATTGAATTTAAAAGGATTGACGGACAGGATCTGCGTCGCAGGGTAAAAGTGATATGTTTGCATTTTGATTCATTGATTTTGATGCGCCAGTTGTTGCACCACTGCTCAATCAAAGAGAGGTGAGATTGTAGGTTTAGAGATGCTATTTGAGGATCTGAGTGGGAAGATAGAATGGCAGTATCATCAGCAAATGTAGCTAGAAATGTATCGGGATTGGAAGGGATATCGGAAGTGAAGAGGATATAGAGAACCGGGCCCAAGACACTGCCTTGTGGAACACCAGCCTCAACTGGATAGTAAGTGGAGAATGCGGTGTCACAACGGACTTGAAAGGAACGATTTGAGAGGTAGGATTTGAGGACTAGGTATAAGGATTGGGGTAAATGGGTTTTGAGCTTGAAAAGCAAGCCATCGTGCCACACCCGGTCGAAAGCTTGTGCTACGTCCAGAAAGGCACCAGTGCAATAATGCTTGTTTTCAAGTGCAGAGGATATATGGTCCACAACACGAAGGCCTTGTTGGACAGTGGAATGTCTTGAGCGGAATCCAAACTGATGAGAAGGGATGTTGTGGGATTCGATTATGGGTAGGATGCGTTTGAGAAGGATTTTCTCAAAGATTTTTGAGAGGATCGGGAGTAAGCTTATCGGTCTATAGGATGATGTGTTATTAACAGGTTTACCTGGTTTTGGAAACAGGATGATTATGGAATGTTTCCACACCAAAGGAAAGTTGGTTGTGCGAAGGATGCAGTTGTATATATAGGTAAGGAATATGATTGCTTTTTTGGGAAGTTGTCTGAGGATTTGTGAAGTGAGGAGATCATATCCAGGGGATTTTCGGGGTTTTAATTTGTTTATAAGGAATTTGACCTCAGAGGGGTTAACAGGTTTTGGAGGTAGAGAGAGAGGAATTGGTGAAGAGAGGAATTCTTCAACTTCAGCAGTGTGGCTGGGATGGAGTTCGGGGTGAGGGGTGAATGTGTAGGATAAATGTTTAGCAAACTCCTCTGCTCTATTCGCATCTGACGAAGCCCAGGAACCATCATCACGGCGAAGTGGATGGGAAATGGACTGGAATTTAAGGATTTTTTTGGTTACGTTCCAGAGGGAGTTATCACTAGCGGATAATGAGGAGAGGTAGGAATTGTAGGATTGGGTTTTAAAAGTTTCCAGTTTCTTTTTTACCTGTTTGGAATAATAATTATACGATTTCCGGTCATCAGGATGCCTAGTTCTTTGCCAAAGGGTCCTAGAGCAACGTTTGCTATGGATTAGGTCCAATAGATCTTGAGGTAAAGGATTTATGTTATGGTATTTTTTGGGACGATCAGGTGAGGATGCAGTCCAAGCTGCTTGCTGGATCAGGGTAGTGAAGGAATGCACTGCATCGTCGAGGTCTTCAGGTGTTTTTAAGGAAACTCTGAGGTCAATATTATCTTCCAGTATTTGACGGAAAAGGTTCCAGTTAACTGGCCCCCTGATAAATGAAGGTGGGGATGATTTGGGAATGGGAGATGTGGAAACGGTTAGGACTAGAGGACTATGGTCTGAGGAAAGATCATCAAACCTTGAAATAGAACAGTGTAGTGATCCTAGACCTTTGTGGAGGAAAAAGTCTAGAAGGTCGGGATTGCGGTTGGGATCTGTTGGCCAGTATGTGGGTGTATTAGGTGAAAGGATGTTGCTGCGATGGGAATTAAGTGCAGATAGCAATGTTCGGCCTCGGGAATTTGTTGCTGGTTTATTAGGAAAAAGATACAATAAATGACTGAGATCATTCTAGCTCACTTAATTTATCAAATAGCTTAAAATATTAGATTCACATCAATCAACATAGGATTTCTATCTCTTATTGTTTGTATCCATTCCTATATCTCCTGATATGTTTTGAACATAACAAATAAGTTTTTTAAAATTATTATGAAGTGTCGAAAGTTGGAATATATTGACACCAAAAACATCAAA